TTTTGAGTTTTCTTTTTAGTCTGTTGATTTCTTTAGTTTTGCAGAAACTTTTAAGTAGGATGAGATCCCAGTTGTTGATTCTTTGAAGTGTTTCATGGGAAGTTTGGTTTTTGTTCATGAACTCCCTACTTACCCCTATGTCTTCAAAGTTTTTACCTACTTTCTCAGGTGTTGAAGACCTGATTTCTGCAGGATCTGTTGTTATTTCACCATTTTCATTCCTAATTGCACAGATTTGAGTCTTTACTTCCCTTTTCTTGATAAGGTTCTCCAAGGACTTGTCAATTTTATTTAATCTTTCAAAGATTAAAACTCTTTGACTCATTGATTCTTTGAGTTGTTCTCTTAGTCACCATTGAATTAATTTCTACTCTGATCTTTATAACTTCCTGCCTCGTATAAGCTTTAGGTTTGACTCGCTCTTCTGCTAGATCTGACTTGCTCACTCTGTTTTCCTGATATGGATATTCATCACTATAAATTTCATAGGACTGCTTTCATTATGTCTCATACATTTTGCTATATTGTTATGGCATTATTGTTTAATTGTAGAAACTGCCAACTTTCTTGTTTAATTTCATCTGTGACACATTGGTTGTTCAGGAGAATGCCATTAATTTACATATGTTTATGTAGTTCTTGTGTTTTCTCTTGTCATTGATTTCCAATTTTATTGCACTATGGTTTGACAATGTGCATGGGATAATTTCAATTTCTTTGTATTTACTTAAGCATATTCTGTGGGGTAAGTATGTGGTCTATTTTGGGGAATCTACCATGTGCCACTGAGAACAATGTGTATTTTGATGTTATGGGTGGAACATTCTGTAGATATCTACTAGGTCCATTTGTTCAAAAGTTTGGTAGAATTCTCACATGGAATTGTTGATTTTTTGTCTAGTTGATCTATTTGTGGCAGTGGGATACTGAGATTCTCTTTACAATTGCATTAGTGTTTATTTGATTTTTCATGTTCATTAATATTTGTGCTTTATAGTTTGGTGCACTAGTATTTGGTGCATATATATTTATGACTGCTGTCTCTTTCTCTTGGATTGTTCTCTTTCTAAGGATATAATGAGATTCTTTGTCTCTCTTTATCAATCATGGCTTGAAATCCACTTTGTCTTCAAATAGAATAGCTGTCTCTGTTTTTTGTGGGTTCTTGTCATATTGTTTTCCATGTTTTGAATTTCAATCTATAGATTTATTTTTGAGGTAAATGTGTTGTTTGAAGGCAACATAAAGTTGGATGTTGTTTCTTGTTTCTCCATTTTATCTCTTTGTTTCTTTGTTTCCTGTACTGAAACTATTAATATTGATGTTTTTAATGATATGTATTGAGTTATCTTTGTTATGTTATTTTCTTGTTGTTTTCCTCCCTACATCTGTTTAATTGCTTGCACTGACTGGTGCCTTCTTGGTCTGCATGGAGTTGTAGTCATTGCTTTATCTGTCTAGGACATCCTTCAGAAAATTTTGGCATGCTGGTGTTGTGTTCATGAATTTCCTCAGGCATTCTTTGTCATGAAAATATCTTATTTCTCGACTAATTCAGAAAGATAGTTTTGCAGGGTACATCAGTCTGGGTTGAAGGGTATTTTCCTTTAGGGCTTGAAATACTTCACTCTGAGCACTCCTTGACTTGTGGGTTTGTGCTAAGAAGTCTGCTGTGATTCTGATGGGCTTTCCTTTATAGGTGATTTGTTTCTTTTCTCTAACAGCTTTTAATATTCCGTTTTTGTGTTGAATTTCTGGAATCTGAATATATATCATGGTGTAGATTTTCTTTGATCATGGCTAATTGGAGTTCTGCATGCCTCGCTTAGTGTAAGTACAATCCTTTTCCCTGTTTGGGAAAATTCTTCTATGACTTCTGTTAACAGGTTTTTTATGACATTTGTGCTGCCTTCTGCTTTTTTATTGATTCTGCTAAAACTCGTGCTATTCTTCTTTGCATCATCTAGCACCTGTTGAATTGATTTCTCATGGTCCTTTGCTATTTTCAAGAAATCTTTCCTTTCATGTTTGCTAACCAGAATTCTGTCTTCTATATCTGATATTCTGGCCTCACTTTGGCTTATTCTGCTGTGTATACTTGCCATGGAATTTTTAATCTCCTGGATATCTGTTTCATTGATTCTATTTCTTTCCTATGTTGGGTGTTCATGGTTTGCATCATTTTCCTAAGCCCTTCTATATATTTATCTGTATCTGCTGCACAGTCACTAATCTTTCAGTATGATCACCATCTCTGTAGTTTCCTAGGAAATGATTTTTGATTGATTTTTCTTAGAACCTCATTTGTCTGCTTTGTTCCTTCCACTGTTACCACATCAGAGAGTCCAGGTGGGTCTCTTTCAAATTGCTCCACCTTGTTTCCTCTCAGATTTGCCTTTGGTGAGCTAGAATCTGAGGCTGCATCTTGTTTAAGTGTCTTCTCATTTTTTGCATTTTTTTTAAAGCTCAGTTCCTGGGTGATGCTTGTAAATTGCCTATGGGAATAGCTTTATCACTAGTATTTTTTTTCCTTTTTTTTTTGGTTTTTCTCCGATACCAGGAACCGAACTCATGACCTTGCGCTTGCCAGGCAGGCGCTTTTGCCGCTGAGCTAAATCCCCAGCCCCTATCACTAGTATTTGAACTATTATGAAATGACTATTTCTCAGAGCTGTCTTCCAGTATAGCTGCCTTTTGGGTTTTGATTTTGTTGCAAAATTCTAAACATTCAATTTATTGAGGCTGAAAAATTGCTAACTACTTGGCCCACCCACTGCTTCTTTGGCACTGGCTTATAGCATTGTTAATGACTCTTGGGTTATCTCAGTCTTGGTATACCATGACAAACAATTGATTAGAATGTGTTACCTTGGCTAAAGTGGTATAAGCAGTAATAACAGTAGTATCAAACACAGTCTTGAAAATTGACAAACTGAAGCAACAGTTAATTTACCACTTTTAACCATATGAAATGGATTTGTGTCTATATAAAAAAATCTAAAGTGAACCAGAAAATTGTATGGAGTAAATAATCCCTCAATATTAGCAATTTTGTCCTTGGGGAGAAAATTTAAAAGGGTTTGGGTGAAAATCAAGAAATAGAACAGGAGGAAAAGGATAGAAGCAAGGCTGCAAGACAAAGGAAGATCCTTCAAATTTTGCAAACCTGGTCACAAAAATGGGAAAGAGAGAGGGAAGAAATAAAAACAAGAACACAGTAAACAATGGTAAAAAATCTATAAACTGTTTTCATAGTCATATAAAAACAAGAATAAACAGTCAAGAAAAACAAAACTAAACTAAAATAAGAAAACAATAAAGGAGGGAAAAAAGAAGAAGAAAATAAGAAAAGAATTTCCACTTCAAGGTATGTCAGTGTTGCTGCTGGTAGACAACATGGGCGCACAGAGTCAAGATCCATGTTGATGAAGACCAGTAACCAAGGCATAGTTTACAGCAAGAGAGTGGATAATCTCAGCATACCTGCATCTTTAGTTCCACTAAAGTTCAGGGTAGTTTCACACTGTTCATTTGGAAACAGATTTGTTCAGCCTTTAGCAGTCCAGGTACCTCCTGCTGGCTGGAGCTCTGCTTCTTAACCTCTTGATGACTTGAACTTGACAACCTGCCTCTGTCACTGAGAGATGGAGCTGACCTGAAACTGTTCTAGCTTCTGGGCTCAATTGTCCTTCTGCAAAATGGCTACTAGGCAATTACCCTCTTCTGGAGGATGTCTGAACCTGAATAATTCACCAACTATTGCAGTCCCTTGCATCCCCTGCTCTGTCCACAGGTGTGTTTCTCCATAAAGTCTTCTGGGGTTGCCAGTAGTCACTGTGTGTCTGCAGGTTCAAGCCCCCCAATCCCCAGCAGTGAGTCCTGACTCAGGGGAAGGCATCACCTGCCCCCTCCTCTGTCTCCATTGAAGTCTGTCTCTTCACTTCCCCCATGGGCTTCAATTCTCACTTTAGTTTTTTCTTGCATCCTGGGGACCCCCTTTTATCCTTCTTTTGTTCCTCATATTGCTATGTCCCAACATCTGGACACCAAATCTCAGACAGGTCTTTCTCTGCTGCTTACCACTCCACCATCTTCCTGAAACTCTATAAATGTTATTTTAAATTTTATGTTATTTGTACCTGTCTGCAATACATGATATTTACATTCACCTTGAGGAGCAAGTGCTCATGCCTTGATTCAGCAGTACTAATGTAAATAGTTAGGGCCCATGGTGATTAGAAATGGAACTTAAGCTTTTATGTTTATAATTCTAGAAAGTGGATCTATAATTTACAAGATTCTCCAAGTTTGAAAAACAAGCAAACTATATGAAGGTGAAGAGGCACTGAAGTTGATCATTCTTTTCTGTATTCTCTATTTCAATAAAAGCTTAGGCAGTTGTTCAACAGTATATGATAAAATGTTTCTGATGTTATGATGGCAAATACTGAGAATCCAGTGTCAGAGATAATGTTAAACAATTTGATTAACAGATTGATACAAAATCTGTACTGAATATTTGTTCTTTGAATGAATTTTGTTTGTTCCTCAACCTTGTTATATAATATAGGTAAAGTTTCATTTAATTTATGTTACAGTTATTTTTGTATGTTGGGTGTAGGAAATAATTCCACAGCATCTCCCCCAAATGTCATGTGCTCTCCTCAGCACTCTTCCTTACTGAGTTGCTGCTTCACAGGGAAATTGGGTCCTAGGCATGAAACTCATCAGCTTCCCACCCCCACAGCAAACCCTACCCTCACTACCTCTATGCCATTTATCCTTCATTCATCCAGGAATACAGGTATTCTCTGAGGTGAGTTTCACTGCCTGAACCCTCGAGCTGACATTCTTGGACCATTAAAGGATCGAGTCCTAACTGCCCAATCCAAGTGAATGTTATTCTTGCTTTACTTTATGTACCTAGTGAAATTTGACCCTGTCAACTGTCTTTATTTCAGCCACAGAACTTTTTTTGTTCCATTTCTTAAAGAGGCACGATGCCTGAGAATGAGTCCTTCATAACAGATTTCATCCTTGTGGGGCTCTTCCCTAAGTTCCGGCATTCCATTATCCTCAACTCCATGGTCGTCTTTGTGTATATCCTTGCCTTCCTGGGAAACATGCTTCTGATTGTCCTGATCTGGGGGGATTCTCGACTTCATACACCCATGTACATTCTCCTCAGTCAGCTTTCCCTCATTGACTTGACGTTAACTTCCACGATTATTCCAAAGATGGCTTTCAACTTTTTCACAGGAGAAAGGACCATCTCGTGGACTGGCTGTGGAACACAGAGCTTCTTTTACCTGATGTTGGGAATGTCAGAGTGCCTCATCTTGACCCTCATGGCTTATGATCGCTATGTAGCTGTCTGCAACCCACTCCGCTACCCCACCATCATGAATGCGCGCATCTGTCTGCAGATGGTTGCTGGGTGTTGGGCTGCCGGCTCATCAAGTTCCCTCATTCACACTGTTTACCCCATGCATTTTCCTATCTGTGGGTCCAGGGAGATCCACCACTTCTTCTGTGAGGTTCCAGTGCTCATCAAGCTCTCCTGTGAAGACACCTCGGTGTACCAGTCAGTGGTGGTGGTGACAAGCATTGTGCTGCTCGTCGTCCCCTTCAGTCTCATCACAGCTTCCTACACGCTTATCTTCCTCACTGTCTTTAGCATGAACTCAGTCAAGGGCAGGAGAAAAGTTCTGGCCACGTGCTCTTCACATCTCACAGTGGTGAGCCTCTTCTTTAGTCCAAACATCTTCATCTACATGACTTTCACTTCTTCTCACAGTCCGGAACAGGACCAAGCACTCTCTGTTTTTAGCAACATCCTTACGCCCATGCTGAACCCTCTCATCTACAGCTTGAGGAACAAGGAGGTGGTAGCAGCTCTCAGGAAGCTGTCTGGGAGATGTGTGGTGTTTCAGTAGATGAATGACCCCTCAGTGTGACAATGACAGGCTTGTGACCAGAGACAAAGCTACAGATCAGAGTTTGAAGACAAAGCATGTGTTGCGTGGCTTCAGGAAACCAAGATGACTTTATGTAAATGGAACCTTTCAGATATGATTTCCCAGACCTCCAGTGGAGACTTACATACTTTCCTGGTAAATATCATTGGATGATCACTAAGTTAGGAAAGTATTAATGAGATTCTTTATTACTATTTAAAATTAAATTTGATCTGAAATCTCTGAAATTATTAGACTTTGCCAACAAATAAAAGCTCATGTTTGAAAATCAATGAGCATAGATTTCTTGAATCTAGTTGGTATTTATAGTAGAAATATAATTTGAAATTCGAAGTTAAGGTTTTTTTTTGTTGTTGTTTTGTTTTTTAACTTTATTTTTTTGTTACTGGGAATTGAACTCAGGAACTTTTGCTTGCAGGACAGGCACTATTAAAAGTGAAGTATTAAAATGAACTGATTTTAGGTGAATTCAAAAGCCAAACGTTAAGATTAATTGGTATCTTTTGTAATAAAAAGTACTGAGGAATAGAACCTGTTGAACTACCAAATTATTGGGTACACCTATTTGAATATATATTAAATGTCATAACTGCGTATTTTTCAGTATGAGTGTTATTCTATTGTGCATTTGTCTGCTATCATTAGATATTATAAGATCCATAACTAGCATTCTAACTTTTCTGCCTTTAAAGTGAAGAATAGGACAAATATCAGGGGTACATTGAGCAACCAGGGCTTGGTGGTTTCTACAGAAATCTGTACAACACTTCCCTTCTCCTCTCTGCTCTCTCCTATGTGCCTCTCCCTTCCCCTGGATACCCAAGTCTTAGGAAATCTCTACAGCTGATTTTCCCCATAAATAGTCAAAATCCCCCATTCACGTTTAGCTGTAAGAATAGTTTCACTTTAAGGACTGTAGTAAATTGTCTTGCTTCATGTACATCATTCCAACCTTCTCCTGGTGCAAGTATTACCCTAGTTGGACTCTTAGACAGTTGAGAGAAAATACCTTTACTTCTCCTTCTTATCCTAGGCTGTCACACGTCAGGCTGGCCCACCTCCAAGCTGTGTTCCAAGCTGGCCCCACGGTCATTTCCATGTTAGGAGGCGCTGATGCAAATCCCATGTGGCTCAATGCAGCCGACAGCACCCAAGACCCAGAGCAGCACCAGATGTTATGCCACTCAGAGGGCCTTAGTGTTCTGTCTCTACAGGCTGCCCAAAACATGCTTGGAAGTCCTACTTTTTAATCAGTTGTAATCAATACATAAAAAATTCTACATATTAACGAGTACCATGTAAGTTTTTTGAACATGCAGAAATTGTGTAGCTCAAATCATTATAAATATATTGCTTTCTTTAGACATATAATTTATGATGAAACTGTTCAGAATCTTCTAGATTTCTGATGTGTACAGAACAATTTGTGGTTCTTCTACGGTGCTGTAGCACACTGCAGCTTCTCCTCCAAACCAGAGCTCCGTAATCATCAGGCAACCCCTCCTGGCCCCTCTGCCCTCTACTTGCTCTAGTTAGCACTTTTCTCCTCTCCACTTTCCCCCAGCCAGCTTTGCTAGATTCCATGAGATGGTATGGCATTTGTGTTTCTATGCCTGGCATATTCCATCTGACATTGTGAGCTCTAGTTCCATCAGCATTGCCACAAATATAGGATTTCATTCTTCTTTCTGTGGCTGGGTAGTATGACACTGTGTATGTGTCACATATTCTATATCCACCCATCAGTTACAGAGCATTTCGAATGCATCATTTCTTGGCTGTCCTAAGAAGTGCTCCAGTGACCATGGGCTTGCAGGTGCCCTCTCAGCATGATTACTTATTGTGGATGTTCACTGATGCTGGATCACAGGGCATTTCTATTCTTAATTTTCTTTTGGGGAACCTACAGTTTTCCATAGCCAGTGTACTGGTTTACGTTCAGTGTGCCTCAGCTCCCTCTTCTCCACACTCTACCCAGCACTTGTTACCTTCACTGTTTTTGACAGTAGCTTTTTTAATGAGCATGAGATGCTAGCTCATCATGGCCCTGAGCGCCACTTCCCTGACAGTGATGGAATTCTCATAAAAGGAAAATCATCATCTTAATTACTGTTCTCTCATTGCAGAGACAAAATACTCAATGGTCAAAATTGAGGAAGGAAGGGTTTATTTACCTCACCATTTGTGGAAGTTTCAGTCCATACTCAGCTGGCTCCAAGGCAGAGCAGCACAAGGCAAAGGGCAACAGGGCATTGTGGCAGAAGACAGCAAAAGCAGCAAGAGCAAAAGGGGAGAAGGCAAGCCTCTTTTCCCTCCTTATATTGTATGTTGGCTATCTGCCCAGGCCCACACCATTTCTGTTGGGATCCATTGGAGCTGGTTATGGCTCAAGCAGTCAAGCTACCTCAGTATTGAAAAAGGCATCTTGCTGAACAATTAGAGTCATTAGTAGCTAGGCAACATTACCCCTCCATGATACTAACTTTGCAAGTGTAGAAAATAAACACCCCAACTGTTGAGCCCAGTCCTCCTGCTCATCAGACAAGAGGTAACTCTACCTGACCCTAGCTCTTGTCTCTTGTCTTTCTTTTTCTCATACCCACTGACATTTCTCCCTTTCTCTCCAGGGTGCAATTAGAGACCAACGAGGTTTGCTATGTATGGCACCTGAACTGGACACCCAGTGAGGGAAAATAAGTTGGCAGTTGGTATGCTTCCCAAAAGCATGCAACAGAAGGGGGAAAGTGCATTTGTGAAAGCTAGTATTCAGCACTGGAGTGCATGCTGCTGGCACATCACATGTAAAGCATGGGAATGTATGTTCTGCAGGGTTAGAAGATATAGAGGCTTCTAAGAAGTGAAAAAAGAAAGGGATAATGATGTGCAAGTAGAGACTCCTAGTGCAAGTAGAGACTCTAGACTCCCAGTGGTATATATCTGTGGAAGTGTTTGCTGCATGTTTGACTCCTATGTTTAATTTTCTGGATGTTGGTATGGAAGTGTTCTGTAACCATAAGAAATTTGGCTCAAAACGTTATGTTAAAATCAAATCCAGAGCCTAAGGAGGACATGGAGGGTGAAGAAACAGCTCTACCAATAGAGCCCCAGCCCTCTAGCCTGGCCCAATTTAAGAAGGAAAGAATGGTGGGGGACAAAAGGAACTTTTTCCCATGAGAGAGGTATTTTCCCACAAACTCTGTCTCACAACACTCCATGGAACTGACTGATCCACAGGAGGCTATTTCGGCCTTTTTGGCTCAGAGAAATTTTGCTGCCTCACAAGTTGGAACTTCCACTTCTCAGAGAGTAGAACCATTTTCTGTGTCTTGCAATTAGCATTAAAAGAAGCCAGACAAGCAGGGGAGCCCATGGAGGGTTTTCAGTATATCTACTCTGTTACTGAAGTTCAAGTCCTTGAAAATCTGGGACAAGCTATACATTGCTATGAAGCTATACCTTTTAAAACTTTCAAGGAATTAGAACAAGCAGTTGCTACTTATGGTCCTACTGCTCCCTTTACCTTGAGTTCATTGGAAATTTTAGGACAACAGATTATGGCTCCAAATGACTGGAAAGGAATAGGTAACAAATGTTTAAGTCCAGGAGACTATCTGATGCAGAAAGGAAACTTCCTTGAGTATTGCACTGACCAGGCCTTTGGGAATGTTATTCACAACACAGCCATTACAAAAGATGTGCTAATTGGGGAAGGTGCCTTTGCTACTGCAAACAATCAACTGACCTTTGAACTGCCAGCATATGAACAAACCAAGATGGCTGTCATGAGGGCTTGGAGGAAACTTCCTTCTAAGGGAGAGGCAGCCCTCAGTTTGGCTGCTATTCCTGAGGAACATTTTTAAAATTTCATCACATGCTTATTACAGGCTAGTGAGAAGATTATAAATAATACAGAAGCCAGCAGACTAGTAATTCTGCAGCTAGTCTTTGAAAATGCAAATCAATGGTGTAAAGAGGCTTTAAGAGCCCACAAAAGGCAGGCCACATTGCTGGATATGGTTCAGATCTGTGCAGATATTGGCCCCTCATATGTACAGGGAGCTACTTTGGCAGCAGCTGTTACTCAGGTTATTCATCCACAGCCTGGAGGAAAGGGCAAAAACAAGAC